ATAGTCCCCTGCTTTCTTCGAAAGGTGGGGGACAATAAACAACAAATACATTTACGGACAGTGCTTTATATCACGAGAGAACCTATAGTCTATTGCACTTATTAGGCCCCTCTAAATCTCCCACAACTAGAGAAAGATAAGAGTGTTTTAAATACAAGTTAGCAAAGTCGAGGATGATAAATACAAGAAAGGCTAATGACAGTGTCAAAAATATTATACTCCTTGGTCAGAGGCCGTAGGCACTGTGTATGGACATACAATTTAAGTCATTTAATAATGCGCCTAAAATCCCACTACATTTAAAGATAGGTTGCCAGGCAACAAAACATACGCCCATAGCAGCTGTATCGTCCGGGCAGACAACAAGAGTTGTCGCATATTTTTACTTTTTTCAGTAATGAAACATTTATGATACATTAAAATCTGATTAAGAGTAACAACTCATTAAGTAATTATCAGAAAACCATTAGAATTTGTTTGGTTTTTATAAAGTTCTGCCCCATGCTAACATTTAGTATACGAAACTTTTAACATCATTGATTTAGCTGTTCGATCAAGTCATAAAGATTCATTGAAAATCAATATACTTGATCGTCTCAAGACCTAAAACTCTGTGTATCAATCTGAAGTCAATCGGATGATAATTTTAGCCTCTAGAGTGTCCACAAGATTTTTCAAAGTGATCAAGGGCCATAACTCTGGCAGTAATTATTGGAAATCGCTGAAAATCAATAGGCTTCTTTGTCTCATGACCTTAAACACTGTGTATAAATTTAAAGTCAATCAGATATTAACTTTAGCCTCTCGAGGCGAGCGTCCAAAAGATTTTTCAAAGTGATCAAGGGCCATAACTCTGGCAGTATTTATTGGAAATTGCTGAAAATCTAAAGGCTTCTTTTTCTCATAACCTTAAACACTGTGTATAAATTTAAAATCAATAGAATATTAACTTTGACCTCTAGAGCGTCCACAAGATTTTTTGAAGTGATCAAGGGCCATAACTCAGGCAGTAATTATCGAAAATCGTTGAAAATCAATGGGCTTCTTCGTCTCATGACCTTAAACACTGTATATAAATTTAAAGTCAATCGGGTATTAACTTTGACGGGGCGACAACAATATACAACCACATTTCAATGTGGGCATATAAAAATGCTACGTGGTGCTGTAGATGGAAATTCCGGTCATCATTGCTTGTTTAATGACTAGACATCTGATGTAAAGTGTATCACATATTAAAATATTGTGTGCTAAAATATTATTAGGCCGCGGTTAATTAATTGTTTGTTTCTCATGACCCGCCCGCATGTCCGTTTTCATCCGTAATAATTACACACTTCCATAATTATTTGGTCAAATTTAGGGAGGTCACAAATTCGTCCTGCAAAATTTGTAAAACTATATTTGTTTGCCTTCAAATATTAACAATAAAATGACGCATTAAAATTGACTATTTATCGATAAACATGACACAGTAGGTGATAAGTAAAGTCTAGTAGGCTAGAACGTGAAAAAATATACGAAGTCCATTACGTGAAACCGGAAGTTAAAAAAGCTGTATCATATCTGTCATTCTGCAGCATTTTCTTTCACCGAAGACGACATACATACTTCATAAGGCACTTGTCAATTTTAATAAAATTCACGGAAAGATGTAAATGTCTTTAAATTAGTGCTAAAATATTTTATTTACGTCACTAGCACTCTGTGACCAACGGTTCCAAAACTGCTGCCATGAGATAGTCTCGATCATGAAGTAAGCCTACCGACTAATTGACACTACTTCACGGTATTTTATTAACCACAACACTCTATAAACACAGATTCAAAAGGATACAAAGATACTAATAAATGTGCATACTTTGATGAAGATAAACAAAATTATAAAAGTATTTATCAAGATGCCATTTGCCGATGGGGTCAAAGACAATTAACCTACAGGTTATTGGTACTATTTTCCTTCACGGTTAGAGAAACTAACATGTGTGTAATAAATTCTTTGGACTGACATGATCTAACTAATGTTGTATTCAAAAATCCAAAGATATGCTTTTAAATATTTATGTTAGAACAAATCATCAACCTGATTGGAACAGGTCATTTCGTAATCTTTCAAAGTAGGGTTGAAGTAAAAAATCTGTAAATAGGCGAACAGCCTTTCTAGATTTCTCTCAGCTACTAGTTTCGTTCTTATTCGAACTCTTCAGCTTAAATGAGGATGTGCGATGGCCCTCTATATATAGTGTCGGTGGGCACCGGAGCACATGTGACGTCACAGATGGACCAGAGTCGATCTTTGGCACCGGAGTCGATTATTCCGAAAAGTGTGCAAAGATATTCGGCTAAGAATTTGCCGTCATGATTATGCTTATTTGCATTGACTCAAGGGTCCTAACCCTTTTGAACTCTTAAGTTTAAAGTTTTCTAAACTAACGAGGGCTTAAAAATAACTCTATTAGGTTATGGGCGTGTATCAGTGATGGGATTTCAAAATTTTCGTTGTCGGACATTTTACCGAAAATAAAGGGGCATAACTCTTATTGATATATAAACAGACGGATTCATACCACAATTAAAAATCATGTGTCAACAAAATATTTAAATGCCGTACGTAATAACAATAGGTGAACCTCGCTATTTTTCATATTTAATTCCCGTACGGTAATCAAATATGTCAGTAACATTCCTTCAGCGTATGGCGTACGTGACTCATAGCACATAGCTTTATAGTAAGCACTGTCTTGTAACTGTAAGCAATTTTCGTTCGGCAATCGAACGTGTCAATCACTTGTCAACAAAATATTCAAATGTCGTACGTAATAAAAATAGGTGAACCTCGCTATTTTTCATATTTAATTCCCGTACGGTAATTAAATTTATCTCAGTAACATTCCTACAAACTCCTGCTTCGGCATCAAATTCACAATAATATGCATTACGTGTCTTTGTTTATACGGCAGCAAATGAATGCAGAACTTCCGGAATAAGAATCGTTTTCTTTACGTCAACAAAATATTCAAATCCGCGCGTAATTAAAATAGGAACACCTCGCTATTTTTCATATTTAATTCCCGTGTGGTGTTCAAATTTTTGTCAGTAATATTCCTATAAAATTACGTGTTTTCGTAATACGATAGAAGGAAAGTTTGCCGATCCGTAACTATTTAATTTAGCTTCCTTCAGCGTATGGCGTACATGACTCATAGCACATAGCTTCATCGTAAGCACTGCCTTGTAAGCGATTTTTGTTCGGCAATCGAGATCGCTTGAAAGTGCCACTGTTGATGTGAATTTCTATATGGAGCCTTAAAAGACGTAAAAGATATCGTAGCCAAAATGACTATCCATTGATTTGGTGTGTTATATACATGTACTCTAATGATATGTGACATCTAAGACTAGTTTATACATGCTGTGATTAAAATTCTAATCGCTCTTATTGGATTGATGAATAGCCCGACAAAGGAGAAGCAATGACATCTGTTTAAGATTAGATTGATGAATTGTCCGATAAAAGATTAAGCCAGTCAATCATGGCAGATTAAATAGTTAATCAAGGTGGGTGTATAGACAGTATAACACGATAAATACGTTAATCACTTAATCACCTAATCAATCCAGCCTATTATTAACGATAATCGGGTTGAGTGGTAGTTATACACTCAGTACAATATATTAATTTTGGAATTTTGAATATTATTCACCATATCTTGATGTCCAATTGCGCATATTCCCGGTCGGACAATTTTGGAAGTTCAGAAAATAGCGTCGGACATGTTCAGAATATACGGACAAAATCTCATCACTGCCGTGTATGCTCTAATTTTTTATTAGTTTTCGCCGTGGGGGTACCCCGACTAAATTAATTGCGAACTCGTTCCTGCTTTTCATATTCTGCCTTGAGTTAGGCTAAGAATTATGCTACTATTTCGCATACTTTGAAAAGTGGCTCTAGGAAAATCTTTCTTGAATTCAACAAGGAGCTCACAAGATTGATTTTGCATTTCGCGATTGAAACGTTGTAAAAATACCCAGTCTTCTTTACTGATGTTTGATTCTGCCAAATCATCGCGATTCAATGTGCGAAAAACTGGCCAGGCCTCTAATTCGAGACAAAGATCAACTCCTTCACAAAAAGCCTCCCAGTTACTCATGGTTGGAAATGGTATAGGACAAGGCGATCTGTCATATTTTACCTCTGTTGTTTCGGAGATATTGTCCGCAAATTCCACAGATGTACTTCATTTTCGAAGGTAGGAATAGTAGTGAACGTCCCTATTGTGACGTCACGGGATATCTCTACTTAGGCTAATTGATGGCAATTTGCCAGGTATTTTGAACAGAGTCTATGATATGTGTTCCAAAAATGGGGGTGCTCACGAGAGAAATAGCTAACAGAATTTTAAGAACATAGTACAAAGGGGGTCAGTGGGGAAAAAGAGTAAACAATAAAGTGGGGGACCGCTTGGGACTACATCTCACCGTTAATGCCATCCGGTGTGAATGTTTTTAAAGTGTGAATCCATTTGAATTCATTGGCTTTCCTTAGGGTATCGTTTTTGCCGTAAGGAAAGCCAATGAATTCAAATGGATTCACACTTTAAGAACATTCGCACCGGATGGCATTAACGATAAGATGTAGTCCCGAAGGGTTCCCCACTTTATTGTTTACTCTTTCAAAGTAGGGGAAATAAATGAAATACCAAGAATGAATAGACCTATTACATGTATTATGATGAAGTCTTCCGATGCCCGGCTATTTTGCAACATATTTTAATCTATAAAATTTTTATTAAATGTGAATAAATCGCAAACGCCAGTTACCGTTTGGTTTTCAATGACCAAGTAACCGACATTAGTTTATTGCTGAAATAGAAACAGCATTAAACTTAAAAATTTTAAATTCCATCTCAATAATTAATAATTACCTCATGTAGCATGTATATTTCACAAACACAGGTCATGAGAAACAAACAATTAATTAACCGCAGCCTTATTACCTATCAGCACAATAATCACAGAAATCTACAGCTTCTTCTGTTGGACAATCTGTACAGTGCCATCTGGTGCCAATAATAGGTTCACAGTCACATTTATCACACTATAATAACCATTAACAAAATATACAGTAATATACGTGGATTTTATATTGATACCAGGACATTATATTAATTATTTTGTACATAATCCAACAAGATACATATTGAACATAATGCAATTTACAATAAATAAGACCAGAGATTTCCTGACAGGACTAATACTTTTGTTTGATATATAATGTTTCTCAGTGGATTATTGTTGGGTAGGGTCCCCTTGATTTTTCCAGGGTGGGTGTGGTCGTGTCATACTTGGGGTAAATTAATTATTCTAGATGGCAGCCAAAAATGGCGAGAAAAATACAAAAAATCATTTTTCACCTTCACAGGTCGTGTAATATATCGCTTTATAGGTTTTCGGGGTCGCTGAACACGCATACGGGCATATTTTTAACATCCAGTCTATTCCGACAAAGATATTCAAAATGGCGGCGGAAGTACAAGAATTTCATATTTCGCGATACTAGGTCGTGTAATATATCGTTTTATATGTTTTGGGGGTCGCTTAATGCGAATTCGGACATCTTATCAACATAAGACCCATCATGAAGGCGGAAAATAAGGCGGAAAAGACTGGAAGAGTCCTCACTCCAACCGTAGTCTAGTGGACTTAAGTCTGGGCTAAAAAGCTACTTTTAATTCAAGGAAGGCTCGTTTCAGGCTCATCTTTACAGCTTCGTCTGTTGGAGGTAATGTCTCAAGTTTAGGAGCCTCTGCTTGATTTCTGCAAATTCTCGATTACCAGCTTGATACTTTTCGGCCCTGGACGAAACCGATCCACCAGACTTAAGTCCACTAGACAACGGCTGGGGTGAGAACTCTTCCAGTCTCCCAAAATTCACTAGTGCCCAGATTGGTACCAGATGGTACTAAGATGGTACCGGATGTTCTGATAAAAGTTATAAATGCCGGTGTTAATCTGAGCCGCTATGTCAAAGCGGCCGTTATGGCTGTACAAAAATCAGATTTATCATGTTCTGGTTTTTGTTCTTGTTCGAATTCAGACAAATGCTTCAATTCCGTCTCATTTGAGACTGGAACAGCTAGCTAGGATAGTGATGATGATGACGAAGACGATGATGAAGATGATACAATATGATACACTAATATTAATATTGCTTTGGTCATATGTTTTAAATATCATATCTTTTTGTTACTTATAGTTTTAGCTAAAATTGAAATTTCTGGAATGATTTATCATAAATCCAGCTGTGTGAACTTTGGGGGTTTTTTTGTTTTTTTTTTTATTTTCCGCCTTCATGATGGGTCTTATGTTGATAAGATGTCCGAATTCGCATTAAGCGACCCCCAAAACATATAAAACGATATATTACACGACCTAGTATCGCGAAATATGAAATTCTTGTACTTCCGCCGCCATTTTGAATATCTTTGTCGGAATAGACTGGATGTTAAAAATATGCCCGTATGCGTGTTCAGCGACCCCGAAAACCTATAAAACGATATATTACACGACTTGTGAAGATGAAAAATGATTTTTTGTATTTTTCCCGCCATGTTTGGCCGCCATCTTGAATAATTAATTTCCCCCAAGGGTGACACGACCACACCCACCCTGGAAAAAGTGGGTTCTCGGCACTGACGTCCGGACTATAATGGGAACTGACTATTGATAGATGGATGGTCTCAATTATCTACAAGATTCATTTACTTTGTTTAAAATTGAAATGAAATCTGTTGCACAGCTTACTAACAAAAGTATAAAGTGAAAACTACCAGAAAAGACTATCTCCCTTCATTCACAGGAGAATTGTGCTTATACAGTCACAAAGTCCAGATTCTGAACAGAAAGATTGACAGACAGGGTAATTGTGTATAGAGAGGAAGGGAGTCATGGTAAACATAAAGGAATCCTTGCATTTACATCCCATAAACATTTTTGATGTCCTACAGTATTTGATTGGTAATCCCGAGGGAGGGAGAATGGGGAAAGGAAGGCTTGCATTTACATCCCATAAACATTTTTTGATATCCCACAGTAGGTAATCCCAACGGTCTACATTATTGTGGTCTACCTTCTCCGATAACGATCCTCCAAACATAGCCATCAAGTATGTGTAGAGTTGACATTATTGCTGAGTGGTCTAGCTGTACACTATAAAGGTTTGTGAATTCTACTGAATTTCCACAAATTGTCCATGCCACGTAAAATAATGGAAAAACGTCATGCATTTAAATATACTTTTCCAATGCAAGATTTGTGATGCTCTAAAACAGTATAAACGTCTGTCAAACCAAAAAAAAGATTCAAATAAAGCTGACCTTGTAACCTGTATGTTGAAACATTTTACACTCTGATCGCACTTTTTCTTTACGTAATTGTTTTAATTTGACTAGTTGCTGATATTCTGGTGTGTTTCTCAATTCAACAGGAATCTGTTCATCATCCTACAAATATTAGATATAAAAGATTTTTTGTATAAAGTACCGTAATAGATATATATATAATATAAAAGTTCTTTAATATAAAATATTAAATATAAAAGATGTTTCAAATAAAAAAGCGGATCTAATATAGTACGGTACTTATAAAGGCAGTTATTGACTTACAGAAATCGTACAACAATTATATTTTGTTTAGGCCAAATGCATGGTAATATATCGATATACCAGTACATTGTTACAGGTCTAGCACACATGTAAGCCACCATTTGATGGTCTATGAACCTGGAAAATTCATAATTACCATCACAGCATACAGTCAAAAATCTCAATAGACGCTTTGAGATTTGAGTGCAGATGGCTTTTATAGTTGATTATTATATGGGTCATTCCATGAAGTTGGCACCTAAAGTGTGACATGGGCATTAAAATTTCAAAATGTATTTAGAGAGTAAATAACACATTGTTTGTTTTGTTTTGAATGTTTCCTGATGTACCAATGTGGTAAAAATATAAAAACTTTACAATTTTCTGTAAAAACGCTGACATACTAAAATGAATGTGTGTAACATTGACAAAATATTGTCCTCTTTTTCTTTTTGTTAAGATACAACTGAGTACTCAAGAGTAAAGTATCTATCATTTGGTGGTATCAAAATGTAAAAAGATGTAATTTATTTTACAACATCTCTCAAAATGAGTCTGCGGGTAACAATGACTAAAATCACACGTTAAAGTTCTATAAAACAATACTCATAAAAAAAATGAGAAATCAATTCCTAATATTGTACATCTATTTGCGTTGTACAGTTTTTGACCTGTTGATTGTACCATCTAATAAAACAAAGAATTAGATATCCTGGGTAAAAAGAGTTGGTAACATTGACCACATCCAATTCCTTTGGAAATTAATTCCTAATATTGTACATCTATTTGCCTTGTACAGTTTTTGACCTGTTGATTGTACCGTCTAATAAAAAAAAATATATTACATATCCTGGATAAAAAGAGTTGGTGACATTGATCACATCAAATTCACTTGGAATCGTGATATATATTGTTAAGTAATCAGGGATAAAAAATTGCTTTAACCATCCCAAGGAGCTATCACCTTCAAATACAAATGATAATGTGGATGTTAGTCATGTATGTGACAAGCACAATGGTCACCTGTCTAACCTTGTGAGTTTTGCCAAGGACTATCATTTACCCCCACTGCTGAATCCCTATGCACAAGCCAATTATTGAAATAACCTAGAGTCGAGTGATCGCTAAAGTCCACCTCTCTCGAACAACCATCATTAAATAAGTTACGACTTTGGAAATATGATTTAATATTTCATTTATTATTCAACATGTAACACAGTGATCAGTTTAAAAACAAAAACAAAATAAAAACCAGCGGCTGCCAGGCAGGATACGCCCACATTTTCGAGAGATGGATAGAAAACAAGCTAAAACGAAAGTGATTTTTCCTACAATCAAGGGCCATAATTCAGGAAATTACAATTCGATATGTGCAAATATCGAAAAGAACCAAGATCTTGTGTTATAAACTTACATTTCAAGTTTCAACAAAATCAGATAAAAATTGTGACCTCTATAGGGTCCACAACCTTGATATACCATATTTTTACGCTATCTGAGAACGAGGGGTGGCCATTTTGTCTGTGAGTTTTGGGCCGATTTTCACAAAATTCGAACTCAGCCGTCCTTAGGGTGTAACGGTGATATAATAATACGATTTTTTAAATCAGATAAAAATTATGACCTCTATAGGGTCCACAAGCTAAAAACACGATTTTTCATACAATCAGGGGCCATAATTCAGGAAGTTACGGTCCGATATGCGCGAATATCGAAAGGAACCCAGATTTTTGGGTTATAAACTTACATTTCAATTTTCAACAAAATCAGATAAAAATTGTGACCTCTATAGGGTCCACAACCTTGATATACCATATTTTTACGCTATTTGAGAACGAACAGCGGCCATTTTGTCTGTCAATTTTGGGCCGATTTTCACGCAATTGGAACTCAGCCGTCCTTAGGTTGTAACGGTGATATAATAATATGTTTTTTTAAATTGAATAAAAAATTATGACCTCTATAGGGTCCACAAGCTAAAAACGCGATTTTTCGTACAATCAGGGGCCATAATTCAGGAAGTTACGTTCCGATATGCGCGAATATCGAAAGGAACCGAGATCTTTGGATTATAAACTTACATTTCAAGTTTAAAAAAAATCGGATAAAAATTGTGACCTCTATAGGGTCCACAAGCTAAAAACGTGATTTTTCGTACAATCAGGGGCCATAATCCATGAAGTTTCGATCTGATACATGCCAATATCGAAAGCAGCCGAGATCTTTTGGGGATAAACCTATATTTCAAGTTTCGTCAAAATCGGATAAGAATTGTGACCTGTAGAGAGTCCACAAACAATTGTGGACGGACGGACGCACAAGGGCGACGGTATAATACGTCCACATGAAAATGCGGGCGTATAAAAATTGAACATTAAATCTTTGCAACTGCACCTCGGATAGTTGATTTAAACACATAAGATAAAGTGGAGATCAAATCAAAGTTCAGGAGTATGAAAATGTCACACTTTTGGTGCATGTCAAACTGCAGAAAATGCATTTGACACATCTTTTTTTCAAGTGAATTTTTTTTATTTCACAAAATGAGATTTTAATATTATCTTTACATCAGACCCCCAAAATAATTATCAACAATTCATTTATTGAATTCTATTTCTTGAGTATTTTATCATCACACTGATAATCGTAGGTAACAAAGTGTCAACTTCATGGAATGACCCTATGCAATTGGTGTGTCTTGAATGGCAGCACATTTAACAACAGGGAGAGAGAGAGAAATGGGATTTAACATCCACTCGACACAAACTAGGTCATTTCGGGACTAACATATGGTTCAATTTTATTTGCATAATTCGCTAGCGCGTAGGGGTCTTTAGCTGTGGGAGGAAACCGGAGGACCCGGAGTAAACCCATGAGGTTGGACAGGCAGTTGACTCCATGACAGACCGTATGATACAGCGCGAGCGTGCTAACCATTCGGCCATCCAACCCCTCCATTTAACAACAGGGTTTCATGTCCAACAATAATACTGCATAATACAACAGAAAATAAAACTTACACTATCATAATCTAAAATTCTTGTCTGTAAAAATTCTGTTTCATTACCTCCAAAACTTCCAGTATAACTCATTGAGTCATCATCATCAGACATATATACTGGTGGTTCATGGGATTGGAGAAAGGTGGAATGCTGAGAAAATGTATTATATCGATGATGGCGATGACCTGCCTAAAAAAAAGTTAATTGGTAAAAGGTCCAATAATGTTTATGATCATCAGTATCATTCGCAAAATGTGCTACAATTCAATGCAAATATTTTATTAGACAGTAGTTATGTTTTAAATAAATCTGACTAGTGCCACATTTTTATTTCTGTTTTATTTTTTTTAGCCAACACTGTTATAATTGCTATTGGTGTGTCGATGGGAGAGTCCAGATTACATGGACCATAACATCAAATTATTTCAAGTGATAAAAAACTGAGTGAGCTAATTTGCAGATCTGAATATATATAAAATGATGCAAGTCCAATGTTTTTGACTTTGTATAGTTGCAGTTTGAATAATCAACATTTATTTTGATAAATTAGTCAAGTGGCTGGTTTCGATCCCAAGCTTGTATGCGACAAGCAGCAGGGTCACCTGCCCAACCTCATGGGTTTTCTCCTGTTTCTCCAACTGCTAAAAACCCCTACGTGCTAGAGTATTATTGAAATAAAATGGCACACTATTTGTTAGTCGCGAAATGACTTGGTTTGTGTCCAGTGGACGTTAAACCCCATTGTACTCTCCATGTGTGTGATGAACATTTTTGCTGAAAATATTACCTTTTTAAACTGTGTTCCTACAGTGGGAGTTCGACCAGGTACCGGTAAACCAGCTTTAGCTAATTTTATAAAATATTTCTGGACACGACTTGCTACCTGAAAGACAAATAATATACATATCGTATCTATTTCTAAATTATGTTACAAACCTTTATTTCATCAAATTTCACAGGGTTGCATAAGCTGTCTAGTCAGAGCAATGGCCTCATACTAATAGAGTTTTCCCTCGGTTAAATTAGAAAGAAACAAAAATCAGTTTCAATTTTTCAATTTGTATTAATGGGAACACTTAATAAGCGAGTGCCATGCCAGATATGTCGACATTTTGCAAGAGATGGACAGATAACAAGCTAAAAGATAGGTTGCCAGGCAACGAAAGATCTGCCCACAGCAGCTAAGTCGTCTGAACAGTCAACAATAGTCGTCACATATTTTTTCTTCTGTCGGTAATGGAACATTTATAATACAGTAAAATCTGATTAAGAGTAACAACTCATTAAGCAATAATCAGAGCTAAATCAATGGGTGAGACCAGAGGGTGGGAGCGACAGGGCTGTCGGTAATTTTTCACAGTTGATTAGCAGCACTGCTAATCAAAAAGTCCAATTTTGCCAAATTTGATTAGCAAATTTAACCAGCGACTGCCAGGCAGGATACGCCCACATTTTTGAGAGATGGATAGAGAACAAGCTAAAAAGAAAGTGATTTTTCCTACAATCAAGGGCCATAATTCAGGAATTTACAATTCGATATGCGCAAATATCGAAAGGAACCGAGATCTTTGGGTTATAAACTTACATTTCAAGTTTCAACAAAATCGGATAAAAATTGTGACCTCTATAGGGTCCACAACCTTGATATACCATATTTTTACGCTATTTGAGAACAAGGGGCGGCCATTTTGTCTGTCAGTTTTGGGCCGATTTTCACGAAATACGAACTCAGCCGTCCTTAACGGTGATATAATAATACGTTTTTTAAAATCGAATAAACATTATGACCTCTATAGGGTCCACAAGCTAAAAACGTGATTTTTCGTACAATCAGGGGCCATAATTCAGGAAGTTCCTGTCCGATATACACGATTATCGAAAGGAACCGAGATCTTTAGGTTATAAACTTACATTTCAAGTTTCAACAAAATAGTGTCCACAACCTTCATATACCATATTTTTTACGCTACTTGAGTACGAGGGGCGGCCATTTTGTCTGTCAGTTTTGGGCCGATTTTCACGAAATTCGATCTCAGTTGTCCTTAGGGTGTAACGGCGATATAATAATACGTTTTTTTAAATCGGATAAAAATTATGACCTCTATATGGTTCACAATCTAAAAACGCGATTTTTGTACAATCAGGGGTCATAATTCAGGAAGTTATGTTCCGATATGCGCGAATATCGAAAGGAACCGAGATCTTTGGGTTATAAACTTACATTTCAAGTTTTGTCAAAATAAGATTAAAATTGTGAACTCTATAGGGTCCACAACCTTGATATACCATATTTTTACGCTATTTGAGAACGAAGGGCGGCCATTTTGTCTGTCAGTTTTGGAACGATTTTCACGGAATTTGAACTCAGCTGCCCTTAGGGTTTAACGGTGATATAATAATACGTTTTTTTAAATCAGATAAAAATTATGACCTCTATAGGGTCCACAAGCTAAAAACACGATTTTTCATACAATCAGGGGCCATAATTCAGGAAGTTACGGTCCGATATGCGCGAATATCAAAAGGAACCGAGATCTTTGTGTTATAAACTTACATTTCAAGTTTGAACAAAATCGAATAAAAATTGTGACCTCTATAGGGTCCACAACCTTGATATACCATATTTTTACGCTATTTGAGAACGAAGGGCAGTCATTTTCTCTGTCAGTTTTGGTCCGATTTTCACGAAATTCGAACTCAGTCGTCCTTGGGGTGTAACGGTGATATAATAATACGTTTTTTTAAATTGGATAAAAATTATGACCTCTGTAGGGTCCACAAGCTAAAAACGCGATATCTGTTTTCCATCATAGAGAAATAGGCTCCCGTGGTAATTAATAATAATAATAATAATTTTAGTAAAAACAATAGTCTTTCAGACAAGCTACATAGTGTGAAACCCTAATAATAAGAATAATAATCTTAACAAAAACAACAGTGTTTCATTACAAGCTACGCAGTGTGAAACCCTAATTAAAATCAGAAAAGAATTTTTTCCACAAGCTAAAATCATTATTTTTCGTACAATCAGGCCTCCTTAATTCTGGCCTCTTTGCCCATCTCCAACTTTTCCCCAAATTTTCGTTGGGTTGAATGATTTTCACTACAGACAGAGTAACAAATGGTTATGTCTTTGCACTAAAATTTGTATGAGGTTGACCACCAAAATTTTGAGATACACAAACCTGAAGAAGCATACTAAAAACATGTAACTAGTTGCTGTACATACATATCACCGTAGCCAACCTGATAATCCTGTTATCCATCCGCCTCAAAATCATGAATATTTACCAAAACCTGGCAGAAAATGTTAATTCAAACCCTCTTCATCCATTCTAGACCAAACAATCAACAAAAATGGGAATGCAAAAGGCAAGAAAGGAGACAGAGAGAGAATTGCTATAAATAGAGAGAGAGAGAGAGAGAAATGGGGTTTAACGTCCACTCGACACAAACTAGGTCATTTCGGGACTAACATATGGTTTAATTTTATTTACATAATCCACTTGCGCGTAGGGGTCTTTAGCAGTGGGAGGAAACCGGAGGCCCCAGAGAAAACCCACGAGGTTGGACAGGCGACCCTACTCCTTGCCACGTACAACCGGGGATTCGAAACCAAGCCAGTCGACTCAATGACAGACTTTATGATACAGCGCGCGCATGCTAACCATTCAGCCATCCAACCCCCCACTATAAATAGACAAACTACAATTTGTGGGTACCGAGATGGTGAAATTTAATGGTACTGCCTCCTTATATGTCCACAAACAAAATATAACAAAATATAAACGGACACATGAAAGGACATACGGGGGAGACGACAATATACATCAACATCAAAATGTGGGCGCATAAAAACATCATGTCACAGGTAGTATCATACTCAGAAAAGTATTAATAAGCTGTTAATTAATTAATACATATATGTGACAAAACAGTAAACAGTATGTGACCCCCCTACAGCATACTGAGTCACAATGAGGAAATTTTAAAATTGAGTTATTGTTATTTTCACATTCTCCAACTCATTACCTTCAATTTGATGTATGCTTTGTTTGAATTGGGCAAAAATTGACTGAGCTGTGTCCATTAGAAGCTACCCAACTCACAAAAGTAAGTTTTGAGAAAAAGCAAGTCAAAGACTTGGTATGTTCCAAAACAAAATCCCATAGCAACCAGGCCATTTATCTGCTGTTTTGTCGTTGAATATATCTTTCCATGGGTTTTCAGGGGTGCTGAAGACGAAAATCGTAGTAAAAATTTGATCCGACTATTTCCGCAATTTATTTGCTATATTTTGTTGTTTAATATGTTTTTTATTTAGGATTTCAAGGGTTCTGACGACGAAAATGTAATAAATGCACTCCTTTTGTAACGAAACATCCACAACACATACGGCATAATATTCACATGATAGTGTTATACTGAAGAACAATCTATACATTAGTAGTCTGTTGTGTATAATATAACTTGAGTGAGATCTCATCAATTAATTAGCACCTTAGTGCCAGCTAGTGGTCAGGAGATTAAGATTGTTGATTGGATAATCATCAAAGAAGCCGCTACAGCTGTACGCGTGTTCATTTAACATGTGAATTAAAATAAGATTTTGCATGTACGATAGGTCTATTATTATTTTCAGGTACCGTGACATTATTAAAATATGAGTCCCTATAGAAATGTCAATTTCATAGTCAAGAAATGCTTACGTTCACTTTCGTGCATTTTGGCTTTGATGTAAATATCAACATTATTCAGAGGATAGTCAATGGCAGACTGAAAATCGTCGCATTTCTGCTCGCTGGTCGTTCTCATTTTTTCGAACCATTGTGATCAGAGAATTTTAAACAATAATATCCCAGATGCATTCCTTACTTTGCATGCCGTAGAAAGAAGCGACGGTAAAAAGAATTCAGCTTTCAATAAGATAGGTTGCCAGGCAACAAAAAATACGCCCACAGCAGCTAAATCGTCCGACCAGTCGACAAGGGTTGTCGCATAATTATTCTTTTGTAGGTGATTAGGGGAATTTAATAGACAATTTCATACAGATGACTTATAATTTTCGTCATTTGAGGGTTCACAAGGTTCTAAAAACTAAAACAAGGGCTGTAACTCTGGAATTAATCTACAGAAATTGTTGAAATTCGACAGGCTTTTTCGTTTTACTAATTCAAATAATGCATATAAAATATAAATTTCATACAGATCGGATGATAACTTTTGTCGTTCGAACGTTCACAAGGTTCAACAATGTAAAACAAGGGCCATAACTCTAAAAGTAATTGACGGAAATTGCTGACATTCAATAGGCGTCTTCATTTTACTAATTCAAATGATACATATGAATTTCATACAGATTAGGTGATAACTTTTGTTGTTCAAGCGTTCTCAAGATTCAACAAAGTTAAACAAGGGCCATAACTCTAGATGTAATTAACAGAAATTTGCTGAAACTCAATAGGCTTGTTCCTTTTACTAATTTAAACAATACATATGAATTTCATACAGATCGGATAATAACTTTTGGCGTTAGAGCATTCACAAGGTACAACAAAGTGAAACAAGGGCCATAACTCACAGTGTAATTAATGGAAATTGCTGAAATTTAATAGGCTTCTTGGTTGCACTAATTTAAATGCCGGATATCAATTTCAAACAGATCGGATGATAACTGTTGTCATTAGAGCGTTCACAAGATTCAACAAAGTGAAACAAGGGCCATAATTCTAGATGTAATACACGGAAATTGCTGAAATTCAATAGGCTTATTTGTTTTACTAATTTAAATGATGCATATAAATTTCATACAGATCGGATAATAACTTTTGCCGTTACAGCATTCACAAGGTACAACAAAGTGAAACAAGGGCCATAACTCACGGCGTAATTAATGGAAATTGCTGGAATTCAATAGGCTTCTTCCTTTCACTTATCTAAATGATGCATATCAATTTCAAACAGATCGGATGGTAACTGTTGTCATTAGAGCGTTCACAAGATTCAACAAAGTGAAACAAGGGCCATAACTTTAGATGTAATTAATGGAAATTACTGAAATTCAATAGGCTTCTTTGTTTTACTAATTTAAATGATGCATATAAATTTCATACAGATCGGATAATAACTTTTGTCTTTAGAGTGTTCACAAGGTGCAACAAAGTGAAACAAGGGCCATAACTCCAGAAGAAATTAACGGAAGTTATTGAAATTAAATAGGCTTCTTAATCTCACTAATGCAAACAACATATATCAATTTAAAAAAAATCAGATGATAAATGTAGTCTATAGAGTGTTCACAAGAAATTGTGGACGGACGGACCGACAGACGGACGGACAGGGGCAACGGCAATATACGACCACATTTCCATGTGAAACTTCCAGTCAGTAGAAACAGGAAACAGGAAACACAAACCAAATACAGACGGTTTGATGGGATCAATTTTGACTGAGTCAAAATGATGCATTTAATATTCAGATAAGTTGATATAAAATAATTAATAGAATACAATATAAAAAAACCACCGTTTTATCCAATGTTTCGTCAGTAAAAATACTAACTTCTTCAGGGATGAAGAACTAAATTCAAAATGACTGGAAGTCAGTTATGACATCATAGGAAGTTATGACATCGTGGGAGTGCTGACATCATAGACTTAGATACATAACGTGAAAGGTTAGCTTAACTAAAACTTAGGTAAAATTTTACAAGTTAGGAAAACTTATGCATGATTATGAATGATTTTGAAACCCCCTGGATTTAACTCATTTAAACCGTTCGGCCAAACTGAATCAAGTCTATGAATCCACAGACTTTCTGCTGTGTTCAATTTTTTCTGATCTTTATCAGGAATTTTTTGTACTATGGTACACACGAAATCATGACCTGGTATATTAAAATGGGAGGTTACATGGGGGGAATGGCCAGGTTTTTTGAGCTTTATATTACTTCTGTGCTTATTAAGTCGAGTGCTGAAAGGAGTAATGGTTTGGCCTACATATTGCATACTACAGGTTTTACATGTTTAACAATATACAACATAAGAACTGGCACAGTTGACAGAGTCTCTAATCTTGAATGATTTCATGTCTTTACTGGTTACTTCTTGACTATTACACATAGTCTCGCATGATTTGCATAATTTTCGTAAACAAGGTTGACATCCGTATGAAATTTTGTCCTTAATATGCTTATTACTAGTGTCAGAAGTTCTCAACTTAGTTTCTTTCAAGATATTGCCAATAGTGTGGTTCTTCCTCTCTGCTATTATTATTTTGCTGCTATTCATAATTTTCGTCATACGTTAACTTGTGTCTAAAATACTTCGGTCTTTAATCATTTGGTGAAGGTGAGGTTGTCTAGGGTCAAAGGTAGTTGTCCATGGAATAATGTTAACATTAGAATCGGTCTTGGATTGGTAGGTCAATAATTCAGTCCTGGTCTTCTGATCTGCGCGTTTAAATGCCTTTAGAATAATTTTCTTGGGATATCCGGATTGTTTAAGATAGGATCCAAAATTTTTTAGGTTTGATTTGGTCCAGCTATCTTTACTACAAATCCGTTTTATACGTAGAGCACCACTGTAAGGGATAGCGTTAAAGGTGTGTTTGGGATGACAACTTGATGGAGGAAAATAATGATGGCAATCTGTTCTCTTGGGCGTATAAAAATTCTCTTCGAAAAGAAAATTACTGGCCATTTTGTTTATTTCCATTTAAGGCCTATAGATTATTTTTTTAAAGATGATATGAGATATCAAATAATTACCACTTGGATTAATTATTCGGAGTAAATAATGAGTTGTCGACGGCTTTATCATTGACCCGTGACAGTGGATTAGTAATAGTAACACTCAACGGCAATCTCTACAATCAGAATTATTTTTTTTTCTGCCACTTATCAGATTGAATTACATGTAAGTACCCAAAAACACTATCGCCCAAATCAAATATTTATGGATAATGTCTTGCACGCGGTGTCTGGGCCAATCAGCAAAGGAGTTCTGTGGACAGCATGGCAACAGACGGTGTTTATTTATATTTTTGGAGGGTTTTAAAACTCGATTGTATCCGTTCAAAATCAATTCATCGACAATATTTTGATCATATTTATAAACTAGAGATGCTCCGCTTTACAACGATGCCATTTGTTATGCAAGAGGAATGACCGGTCGCCCCGCTGCGAGCGAAGACAAATAACTAATTTCGCTGAGAATTTTAAGAAATGGGACAGATTTAAGAATACGGTACTCTTATAAAACGTTCAAATACAGGTGTTTTAAAATGTTTTATTGCTATTTTGATCTTCTGTGTCGATAGATAGTATATTTAGACTCATTTTTGTTAAAATCTCACTTTCGTTCAAAATCAATATTTTCACTTATTTTGTCTTTATCTCATTATTGATTCTCGCGCATACCGACTCATTTAGATGCGGCCGGTCACATATTACAACCCAAATGTCAAAGTTAATAAAAATTTTACATACATGGACCCACCGCAAGACAACATCACTCTCGCAGATGAGTGACAAGTGGTATGGAGTGTTCGCCTGTTCGGGGGGAAAGTAAACAAAATTGTCAGACAAAAACCATGTCTATAAATTCAGATAAGAAGTCAGGGGGTTGAAAACCTCAGTTTTAATTTTATACTATTTAATCTAGGTAACCTATTCCCACCCTAGTGCACACTGTATACACTGTTCAACAAGATACCTGTTGTGTGGTTCTATTACCAAGAGCGGTTGCTATTTTTTGCCATCTTCTAGCCTCCACTTCTTCTGGTGGAAACTGTATTAAACAATCTTCTAGTCTGCAATACACAAAAACAATTTTAATATAGAATTCTGTTTAAAACTGCTGCTTGTCAAAAAGTTGTGAATTATTTCTAAATTGAAACAGATTTACCCAAAATTGCACTGTTAATGGGCAAAAAAACAGGGAGGGGGGTCAGCCATTGCCATTGATTGTCCTAATTTAGCATCTGTTGCATTAAAAGGAAGAGTTAATATGCATTACTTTGTTGGTATTCTTCAGCATGTCTTTTTTTATAAAAAACCCAAACAATTTAACTATTCATATCACATACCTTTTTTGTTCTTCTGTTGTCCACAACACGTTAAAAGTAGCGGATTTGTTTGCGTCTTTCAGTCGACCACGGACCAATTCCGACTGATCACCAAAAGTTACTGCTACTTTAGATCTTAAATTTGTTACTTCATCTAAATCAAATCAAAAACATTAATTGCCAGATAACTATGTACACCCACTTTCAGCTTGGTCATCCTACATTTATTTTTAAGCCAACAGTAGTACAGAAGGTACGGTACTGTAAATAACAATTGTGATCCAAATTTTGTGAAAAATTGCCATGAACTTATTTCTACAGAGTGAGTACAATAAGGTAATATTGTTTAATTAATAAGCATGGAAAATAACTGAGGTACTTTATTTTATTAAAATAGGGATGCTTCTTTAGCCCACAATTTATTATTTTCAAAAATTTGAAGATAATCTTTCAAGAATTTAACTGTATAGTAATATTATGTCAGTTCTATCAATAACTGTTTATTAACACTCAAGCAATAACTGTCTGAACAACTTATCCAACAATGCTAAAGATACAGACAATCTTTATCCAAAATCCAACCATTCCTGATATTTCTATTAAAATCTGTCTGGAATTGAACTCTGTACGTTAAACGAAAATCAACAGTCGGTGGCAATAAATGTGGAACTACTTTAGCAAAAATACTGAAAATTGATCAGGAACAGCTTTAATTTATCAAATAGGGACTACTCCTGTAGAGTGAGTAAGACACAGCCATGTTATGCAAGTGTTTATCAACAATCACATATGTCAGGGGCCATAACTCTGAAACGTTAAAACCAATTAATGGCTAACTCTGCAGAGTGCACACAAGTATGCGAGCAGACAAAGGCAATATATTCTCATTATATGTAGGTGAATTTATAACAATTAAGCTTATATCTCTAGTGTTTTAATATTAAAGCAAAAACGAACAAGAAAATCAATAAGTAATGTAAATTAAATATTGTAAATGAATGACAGCATATCCCTTGAGAAGGAGCTAAATTGCTAATATTTGGGATCTAAACATTGACACAAATGGGTCGCAACGCATATGATAATGTAATATGAATGTATATAAACTGATTTACATTCAGTCGTTTCTGTTTTTACTGTAATTTCTTATCAGTTATGTTCAGCGAAATATGCCAGAAGTCTCAATTGAATGACAATCTTTAGCGTCTAGTTATTCCACTCTAAACTGATGGTATTTATTATGCATGCTCTCCAGATAAGAATATTGCGTCACCATTTGACATGACTTGTGGAATATGTCTAGCCTCGTTCTTTGAGTCCCTTGTTCCAAATGGCGCTGAAACGCATTATGGTACACGATTTGTGTACCAATGGTAAAATGTTTATTTTGTCTTGAAAATTGGATATCAGAAGCCCATCTTTTCCCCTGTAAGATCACAAGACAAATGTTGATTTGATTTGACAAATAATTTGTGTTTTCTATATTGAAAATTTTTGATGATATTGAGTTAGAGACTTAGTAGCTACTTTAAGGTTCTTTTCTTTGATGTAAATAAATTTTAATTCTTTGGATACTGACCGTCTGTATTTCCATCCATTAACTGTCGCTTGATTCTAGTCACATGACGATGATTACCAAATAAGGCAAAGTCGGTAGAGTTTGTATATTGTTCCCAGTTAATAGTAGGTAATGGTGCAATATTCATTGACTTGGGCAAATTGAGCTGGTCTCCTTTTTGTAATTTTTCAACAAATGCAATAGGAGCATCCAAGGCTTCTCTCTGTTTTCCATGCAAAATATCAATGTCGGCAACAGCCTGTATACGCTGTGCTTGTAAAATACAAATTGTCTTTAATAAATTATGATAGTCTTCATTTCCCTTTAAGGCAACATGATCAGTTTCAAAACAATAAACATCTCGTAATTCGGGACTTTCAGTAACAGGATTGATTAATTCTGGTTCCTCAACTTTAGATGAAGTTGATGTACTTGCCTGTGCATCCATCCAAAATTTATCTTATTTATTTGGAAAAAAATCTGAAAGAATAAACAGGGCACAGACAGGGGTTGTTAGCTAGGCCTATATGATATGCCACCAGCAACAAAATCGTCTGTGCTAAACCTAAAAAATCTTTGTCAAAATATGAAAATGTCAAACAAAGAGCCCAGTTTTCAAATTCTATCAGTATTATTAGAGAACTCTGCGCTATGGTCAAAATGTGAATGGAAAGGTAGCTCCATAAAACACCTTCAAATTCAATACTAGGGGCTGGGGTTCTTCCTAATATGAAGATGAACAATCTCAACAAGGGTTAAAATATTCAAAACTTTGTCCGGTATCACAAGATTTTGTATTACTCACTAGGAACTATACCAAGGGAAATAACTCTATTAAATCAGCAACGGGAGATAACTTTTAAATCAGCAACGGGAGATAACTTTTTCGGAAATAGTCTTGACGGAGAGAGAGAGAGAGAGATGGGGTTTATAAGGTCCACTCGACACAAACTAGGTCATTTCGGAACTAACACATGGTTCAATTTCATTTCAATAATTCGCTTGCGCGTTGGGGTCTTTAGCAGTGGGAGGAAATCGGAGGATCCGGAGAAAACCCCACGAGGTTGGACTGGCGACCCTACTCCTTGTCACGTACCACCGGCCCCGGGGAATCGAAACCACGCCAGTTGACTCAATGACAGACTTTATGATACAACGCGCACGTGCTAACACACACTGATCCACAGTGAATATTCGCTAGGCCGCGGCAATCACTGGTAAAGATGACAGCGATGCATGGAGGTGTAGCCTATATATATACACCTCTATGCATCGATGCGACTCAAACATTATGCCACACTGATCAGCAGTGAATTTTCGCTAGGCCGCTAAAATCACTGAAAAGGATGACATCGATGCGACTTAATGAGTCCCAAATAATTAACCTTTTTCTTCCGTCAAATTAAATTCTAAAACATTTTTTTCATTTATTAGAAAAATAAATAATAAAGACGTTTGAATTATTTGTAGGTAAAAATCATTTCCTATTTAGTGTAAATGGGTATTAAAATAAGTAAAATTCACCATTTAGCCCGAATCAGTAACGTCTTATGTACAAACAATGCACGCGCTATTGAGCCATTGAATGACGCCGCGTGATGTGACGTCACGTGTTGAAACAGAGAGAGAGAGAAATGGGGTTTAACGTCCACTCGACACAAACTAGGTCATTTCGTCACTAACATATGGTTTAATTTTATTTACATAATTCGCTTGCGCGTAGGGGTCTTTAGCAGTGGGAGGAAACCGGAGGACCCGGAGAAAACCCACGAGGTTGGACAGGCGACCCTACTCCTTGCCACGTACAACCGGGGATTCGAAACCACGCCAGTCGACTCAATGACAGACTTTATGATACAGCGCGCACACGCTAACCATTCAGCCATCCAACCCCCCAACGTGTCGAAACAGTCATCTGTTACAGAGATATTAGAAGATCTCTGTGAAACAGATTGAAATTATGCAAGAAGAGCCAAATCTGCCTATATTGCAGTAGGTCCTACGTCTTTCCTTGGGCCTGAAATGTTATCTAAATTATTAATTAGACATTAATTAACTTATCCAGACCATGATGAACTCTCCATGGCATCGCTAGCCTGCGATGTTTATTGAATTAGGTTCCGATTTGCTGTAAGAAAAATAAATAAAGACGTTTGAACTATTTGTAGGTAAAAATTATTTCCCATTTTAGTGTAAATGGGTATTAAAATGACCAAAAGGCCCCATTCTGCTCGAATCCTGGTAACGTCTTATGTTTACAAACAATGCACGTGCCATTGAGCCAATGATTGACGCCGCGTGATATGATGTACGTCAAGTGTTGAAGGCAGTCATCTTTTACAGAGATATTAGAAGACTTTCGTCATACTCTGTGGAACAGATTGGTGCTAACCAGAGCCTTATATACATCCCAAACTTAGGCTGACTCTCTACAGCTAGCTCGAAGTATGACGTAGATGGATCGCTGAGTGCAGTATGCCTTATATAGAGTCTGGCCAACTGACGTCATGGACGCCATTTTGTTACCCGTAATATATGTTGTGCATCACGTATGGTCCCGATTTACAGTGCGTTGCATCACGCGCATGTCTACATTATTGTCATAGTTACACGTCTGCTTTGAACATGCAGTTGCAATAAAGCCGCCATCATTGAAACAAATGAAATGAAATGAAATGGGGTTTAACGTCCTACTGTTCTGCTCCTATACTGGGCTAATGAAGACGGGCATACACCATACAGTGTGCTATGAGGGAAATTTTGCCCGGGCAGCGGCACTATCGCCTACTCTTATATCGAATTCCAACTGCCAAGGGATCTTTTACGTGCATTCCAATGTATACACGGGACCTCGGTTTTTCGTCTCATCCGAAGGACTAGACAGCTGTCCTTGTCAGACCCTCCGTTCTGCACCACTGACAAGGGGAAACCACGTCGGAAAATCGGGATGAACTTTCTCGGCCAATGCAGCCACCGTGGCTCCCCATCATTGAAACACCATATGTGCTTGTCTGAGTCTTTATTATGTGGTATATAGGGCCAGATATACCACATTTGGCGACGAAGTGGTATAAAAATGAATCGAAGACATTACAAGTAAGGTAGCCTACCTATGAATATTCTAGGAATATTTTTTTGGATTGTAATAGCCATGGCAGAGATTGGTAAAATTTCGGAGTTCGACGAAGTGAAGGAGTCATTCGTTTGTTATGAAGAACGTATGAGCCAGTATTTTATTGCTAACGACGTCGAAGACAGAAAGAAGGTGCCGATATTTTTGACAGTGGTTGGTCCACAGACATGGTTTGTTGAAAAATTTATTAGCTTTGAGAAAATTGTCAACACATTGTGATTTTGGAGATTTTTTAAATCAAGCTCTTCGTGATAGGCTAGTGTGTGGCTTGAAAAACGAAGTTATACAGAAGAGATTGTTGACGACAGTAGGTCTAACGTTGAGAATGGCAACAGATACTGCACAGGCTATGGAATTAGCTGAGAAGGATTCAATGGAACTTAAAGGGACAACGTCACCAGCCGTCAGTGTAAACAAGTTACATAGAGGAAAATTTGGTGGACATACAAATAAATCAAAGTCTTATGGTTATAGTACAGGTGGTTACAGCGGTAATCAGAATAAAAGTCAGAGACATTACAACGGTAATCGTAAAAATTTTCAGAGCAAGAATTCTACGTCAGCGGATGTAAAATGTTTTCGTTGCGGAAATTCTAACCATAAACATTTTAAGTGCCCTTTTAGAAATGAAAAATGTTTCATGTGCCAGGAAAGAGGACATATTTCTAAAATGTGTAATAAACGTCAGTTTTCTACAAATAATGTACCAGCCGAAGAATTTGGGTTATGGTATGTTTACTTTGGTGAGGGAAGGAGAGCCGCTTACAAAGTTCGTGTTTTGATGAATAGACCTGAAGTTGAGATGGAAGTTGACACCGGTGCAGCATTGTCAGTAATGCCAGCTAACTTGTATCTTGAACACTTTTCAAATTGTGAGTTAAAACCCTCAAGCGTGGTTTTAAAGACATACTCTGGTGAAGTTTTGAATTTGATGGGTGAATTGGAAGTGACAGTTATGCATAATAATCAGACAGTTGTTTTGCCAGTTGTCGTAGTTAAAGGTGCTAACCCGGCAGCACTTATAGGAAGAAACTGGTTACAAAAACTGAAGCTGGATTGGTCGAATATTTTTAGAGTACAAGCTGAGTTTGATATTCAACCTTGGATTAAGAAGTTTCCTACGGTTTTTGCGGAAGGTTTTGGAGTCATTAAAGGTCACAAGGCTAATATACGTCTGAAAGACACGGCGACACCGATATTTTATAAACCGCGACCGATACCATACGCGCTTAGAGACGGTGGAAAGGGAACTGGATCGATTGGAAAGTAGTGGTGTTATTTCTAAAGTTGATTATAGCCCGTGGGCGACGCCGATTGTTGTAGTGCCCAAATCCGATCGTTCGATAAGAATTTGCGGAGACTATAAAGTAACTGTAAATAAATGTATTGAGGTACAGCAATACCCCTTACCTAATGCAGAGGACATCTTTGCGACGCTAGCAGGTGGAACGGTTTTTAGTAAACTTGATCTGTCGAGTGCGTACCAACAATTGACTTTGGATAAACAATCCGAGTTATTGTTGACATGGAATACACACCGTGGACTCTATCGTGTTCAGACTTGCATTCGGGGTAGCATCGACGCCTGCGATATTTCAGTCTACATTAGAGCAAATACTTCATGGTATGGAAGGAGTGATGTGCAGATTAGATGACATCTTAATTAGTGCTCCTACGATGGAAGAACATTTAAGTCGTGTTGAAATGGTTCTTCAGAGACTAGAAAAGTTTGGTGTTAGACTTAAACTTTCTAAGTGTGTTTTCATAAAAAACCTAGTGTGAACTGTTTAGGTTACAAAGTGGATAGTAATGGTATTCATCCACTAGCTGAAAAAGTGGAGGCGATTAATAATGCGCCAGTGCCTACAAACGTTTCAGAGTTAGTCATTTCTTGGACTTATTAATTATTATGGGACATTTCTACCCAACTTATCAACCATGCTAAACCCCTTGCATGAACTTTTGCAGAAAGATACTCCTTGGTTCTGGTCAAAGGAATGCGATAAAGCTTTTATGACTTGTAAACAGTAGTTGACAGATACCAAGTTATTAGTTCATTATGACGTGAATAAACCGCTTAAAATCGCTTGCGATGCGTCATCGTATGGGTTAGGTAGTGTTATTTCGCATGTTGATAAAGAAGGCAACGAGCAACCAATTGCTTTTGCATCGAGAACTTTGAATCCGAGTGAAAGAAACTATTCACAGCTGGAGAAAGAAGCGGTTTCAATTATATATGGCATAAAAAAGTTTCATCAATATCTTCATATTGGAGACTGATTATAAACCACTTACGACTATTTTAGGTCCTTATACAGCTGTACCCACTCTTGCAGCTGCGCGCTTACAAAGATGGGCATTGATCTTATCAGCATATCAATATCAAATCGTATACAGATCATCTGTTGAACACGGTAATGCAGACGCACTTTCGCGCAATCCTTTGGAGGTTGTTCAGGACGATTCATCGGAGTCGGACTTGTTTTATTTTTCATATGTAAATGAATTACCGATAAACAGTCATCAAATTAGTGAGGCTACACGAAAGGACAGAGTCTTGTGTAAAGTTTTAGAGAATGTTAAAACTGGGTGGCCTAGTTTTATAGAAGACCCTGAGTTAAAGCCCTATTTCATTCGCAGAAATATATACCACATTACCCATCCTTACGTTGCAGATAGAGCCACACTGTACAGTGTGTATGGCTG